CATGAGGACCATCTTCTCAGACAGGGCTGTGTCGAATTTATCTCTGAGGCTTGGTAGGGTTGGGCCTACCCAAGCATTCTGCCCATGGCAGGTGTGGAAAGGTGATTTATTCGCTCAACTGTGCTGACCAGTTGATTTATAACTGAAAATAAACCCATAGGACTATAGGAGAAACCTGGTTTTAATGCCTTAATAAGTCAGGCTCTCAGTGAAAGATTTTATAGACAGATCTTATTCTATTCCATCAACAGCAGGGCAAGGCCAATGTCCCTTATCCTTTGGATGGCTTCAAGTGAGGAGAGCTTCAAAAGAGTTAAGGACTGGCTCAAGGTCACAGTCTCAAATGACCAGGCCTTCCCCACCCCCATGCATTTGCATTCCTAAGCAGAAAAGTGTAACCCCTCCCCCTGAGAAAGACCAGCCAGTGATGGGGATTGTTTCAGATATAAAGGTTGCAGAGACATTTCCTGTCATCCACAGCTAAGGTCAGGCCATTGCTGCCATTCCGCATTTGGAGAATATGCTTCAAGAATGCAGTCAGGAGCTGGGGAGCTTGCTTAGTAGGGAGAGAGTCTTGCAAGCATGAAGACCTGGGTTTGATTCTCAGAACTTGTATAAAGGGGAGGACATGTAATCTCTGCATACACACACACACACACACACACACACACACACACACACGAACAGACACACAGGTATGTACACATAAGAATGCAGTCAGTTTAAGAGGACTCTGGGTCATCATCCCACCTTGAGATTTTCTTTCTAGAAAAATGATGCCACTTGGCAGAATTCCAAAGAGAAACCTACCCCCACCCCAACTCCCCACTCCCAAAACTCTTTTAGAACAGAATCAGAGCCTGGCATCCTAAGAAGTTCCGGAAAGCTGCAGGTGGGTGAAGCAGGATGATCAGAAGTACAAAGAACATGGAGGGGAAGAGAGGTCAAAGGAGAAGAGGTCACACTGAGGCTCTGTGAGTGCCCTCCCAAGAGGAGGCCAGAGGCCTTGGAATTTTCTGGTCAGATTCTCTTTAATTCTTCCATCTTCAGCTTCAAGCTTCACAGCAGTCCCTTCTTCAAAGACCTAAGAATGTGCTCTGTATTTCCCAGCATATTTATGCTTTACATGACCAGTTCTTTAGGGATATGAATTAATTGTACCTATGTCAATATAGTGATAACTTGCATAATGATAATGACTCAGTTTAATCTATTTGCTGTCTTCTGAGTAGTTGTCATACTCTTAAGAATTTTGCCCAGACTAAGCCCTACCCAGCTGCACTTGACCAAGAGAGTTTACATTAGTAAACGGGGCAATTTAATAATGGACCAACCACAGACAGCTGGATAATGCTATCTCGGAAAGTGCAAGGCCAGCATCTCAACCCTGTCTCCTGATTCCAAGGGCCATGCGACTGCCAGCTGCCCTCTTAGGACAACACCGCCAGGCTCTCATAACCTCAGCTGCTGCTGGAGAACTCACTGGCTAGGAAGCCTCAGCCCCCATTCTTTCCTATCTACACACACTTCCTCCCCTAAAAAACCAAAGTGTGTACCCTCTAAGGGCTCCAAGAGAACCGCAAGAACTCTACAAGTGATTGTAAAAGATTCACTCCTACCGTCCCATCCCACACAGCTCACGCACACTCATGGTGGGTCACAAAAACGGTGCTGTCTTTGCTGACCAGCCAGAGCAAAGGTGGTCACCAAGATAACCAACTCAGTGTCTAATTTTCGTGACAGAGATGCCATGCTATGTGGAGCACAGCTGTGACCTCAGAAGAGGCAGATCTAGGGGCACTCTATTCTTGTTCCTTCTGGGATGGTCTTGGAAATGGGACTGGCTACTTAATGTTCCACAGCCAGAGCGCTTTGGTGTCCTCTCTGGCACCACAGCTCGCATGAGCATGCAGTATTTCCCTGTAGGCCACATCCTTGGCCACAGTGGAGTGAGCAAAGCTTCTACAGAGCTTCAAGAGCAGCCACTGCTCAGTCCATCAGACCCAACGGCAGCCTGCAGCCTTCCTAAAACAGTCATTTCACCCCCGCTCACTTCAGACAAGCCATGAAGAGCCTTTGCCGCAGTTGACACTCTGTCTCTCCCTGAAGCTTCCCTCCCCTGCCCCCACTGTCCTGCCTATCCACGAAGTTCAATTTGGAATTCTGCTGGTCCTCCGTCACCCGGTGCTAGTCACAGGAGGCTTGGGTAAATTCATTAGGAGAGATACCTTCTCCACCAGCCTAAAGCTCCTTGCTTTCCGATTCCATGGTTACAGGAATCCTTCCAAAACTACGCTACATCTAAAGACTCCGTGAAATGTAAATAAAACGAAACAGCAGAAACAGAAAACAATTAATCCTTGGGCCTGGGGTCTTTGAAGATCCAAAAAGTGCAGCTGGCATAGCTCTTCCTGATAAGACAGAGAAGGGGAAACACCACAGGCCCACGCCTCTGCCTGCAGCCAACACAGGGGGAAGGGGGTGAGTTATACTCTGTGCCCTATAAACAATTTAGCAGTGCTCTGTCCTGGCAATGTCACTCCCTTTAAACAGAGTCACAACATCTCTGAGCACAGACAGCACAAACGCCAGGAAGACAGACAGAGTGCACACTATTTCTGCCCCTGTGAGGACAAAGCCATTGGTAGACATTAGCTGTGGCAAAACATACTAACGACCAAAATACTACCCAGCATTCAGGATACAGGAGGTTGAACATAGCCATACCCACACGTTTATACACCTTGCATAGGTGCTGTCACTGAAAAAGGACAGCACTGAGAAGACAGAACTGAGGCTAGATGACTTGTAATGGGTAAAATACTCACTTTCTGCTCCTTTCTGGGGAAAGCCTGCCAATCCCTGCTCAACGTGAGTCTTTCAAAACAAGAAGGCTTTTGGAATATCCCCACCCAACAGCTACCAAGAGCTGTCTTCTGGACCATGTCCCTTACCCATGTCTTGTAGCTGAAAGGCTATCCTGGCAAACACACGCACAACTGCACACTTCAGAGAGCGTCTACCCTAGTTAAGGGACCTAGCATAGCTTTACCATCCACCTGGGTGGACAACCAAGCCAAAGATGGGGCAATCTTAGGTAGCTATAGGTCAGAGACTTTTTTTCCTTTGTGTCCCTCAATCACCTTGATGCTAAGAGACCAGCTGCCAGTCATGTCTCTTCCCTCCTGTGCTCGGCCTCTGACTACGTGTACCGGAGAAGAGTGTTCAATGTGCAGCTTGCACGAACAGGATGAATAAGGCAGACTAAACAACAGCAGTCTCTCCTCAAACTGGAATTGAAAAATCTCAAGACTTACAAGTCCACCCGCAACTGGCTGGGGTGAACTCAAGAGTCTTGGCTGGGTTCCTTTCTCTAAGGCACAGCGCCCTCACATGGTGCCAAAGGGCAGTGCAGTCTTCCTGAATAGTTGGCTCAAATGCCATCCGAGAGGAGGCTCAGCAATCACTCTGGGAGGACTTTACATCAGTGTTCTCCAGATTTCCAGCCTGGGCTCCTTCACAGATAGCTCCGTGCTGGAAACTTTACACCAAGAAGTATAAACTCTGACCTCTCCAGAAACTCACGAAACCGCAGCAAATGGGATTCAGATGTTTCTATGTACGGTACGGGGATGTGACCTAGACTTGAAACACTTTGGCAAAGAAAAAAAAAAAAGAGAGAGAGAGAGAGAGAGAAAAGTGATGTGGGCCTTTGAGTCCCTCCCAGAACATGATACAGCGCTGACCCGAGTCCTAAAGTGATCTGAGCCTTTCTCACTCCACTTAAGCCTCCTCGCCCACAGCTTACACCCTTTGCCCCCGATCCACACTAACACCTACCAGGCCCCACCACAAACTGTGCCTTTGCCTTCTCTTGCCGAGGCTGCCAATGTCTCCCAGTTAAACAAAAGTAAACCACACCCTAAAATGAGACCTTAAAAAAATTCCTGAAACTTAGGCTGCTCCCTGGAAATTATATCCACAGGTCACCCAACACTGACCCACTACTAAGAAAGCAGAAGCGTCAAGTAAAATCTTGGAGTCGTGGGCTTTCACACTTTGCTACTGGCTGTGTTGGTGGCGATGTAAGGTAAGAGAAGGGGCAGCTTCTCTGGCTCAGGGTGGGCTGCCAAAACACAGTATCAGAAACGACTGTCCCAGAGGTCTGCTGTGACAGAATATAGGAAAACAAGGCAGATAATGCATGCTCTGAGTGATGCCAGGCTCTCTGGGGGACAAACCATCTGCCAGCCACGTGCTCTCCTTGGGGGCACCCTGGAGAAGCAGAGAAGAATTTGGCTGGGCACCAACGTAGCCAAGTGCTCAAGTGTGAGTGCAAAAAGAGTAAAACCGTCCCAAACTTCCCTGTGCCTCTCCGTGCACTTGTCACAGATGTCTCAAACACAGCGAGGCAAGGTCTTTGAGAAGAAAAAGTGTGAGCGCAGGGCTTACACCTGGGACAGGTGAGCACCCCACAGTTCTCATCGAGGGTGCATTCAGATAAATGCCTACTGTGGAGAAAGGAAGTAAAGATACTGACTACAGTTCCTCTCTTGGTCTTACCTTTCAGCTAACAAAAATGAGACTAATCATGGCCTGCCTTGGGTCCCCTCTTAGAATAAGAACGTTCAAAGGACAGTAGAGAGGTGCATAGATACCCCATTCCCAGACAGAGGAAATGAATACCTTAGTGCTTTCCCATAACGAGCCGAAAACATACACACCTGTGCTGATGCTGGGAGATTGGGAACGACAGGTTCATATTCTTTCCTCTAGGTGAGCTATAGCTAATATCTCAATGCAACCCCACCTCGGCCAGGTTCATCACACAACAGAAGCCAGGACAATGACAGGCCTTCCCTCTGCTAGGAAGGCACAGTCTGAAAGGCCAAGTGAAGGAGATGGAGAGGTAGGTCTTCTCCCGCCCAGCCCTCCGCGGGACCACCCCAGGAGAAGCAACAGACCGGGCAGGGCAGACCCATAGGGGGCGCGGGCAATACCAGGCCGCCGGCGGCGCCGCAGGCGCTGAGGGAGACGAGGGAGCCCGGGTGGCCTAGGACTCGTCCAGAGTAGAAGCACAGCTCGGCGGGGTGTCCGCTGCGGCCCGAGACACCCGCCTCCTCCACCTCGAAGCCTGGGGACAGGAAGCGCAGGTCGCGACGCAGCTGCAGGTATAGGTCGCGCCCAAAGGCCGGCAGGTGCAGCAGCAGGGCGCGCTCTCCTTGCCCCGCTCGAGGGCCACCTGGGGATGCTCGCGGTCGCCGCCACCGCCGGAGCCCCGCTGCTCCCGGCAGCAGCTGCAGGTGCACGTCGTCCGGGCGCAGCCGCCTCGGGAGCACCACCTCCACGTCGGCCGCCGCGTCGCCGACAGCTGCGGGGAGAGAGGACACGCGTCAGCACCGGCCTGGCCACCAGGGCTGCCGGCCGCTCCGGCTCTGGCTCGCCGGTCTCTGTGGGTATCACGCAGCCGTGACCCCGCAATTCCTTCCCTCCCTGAGCCGGGCCTCTCTGAGCCGGCGAAGCCATTCGATCGCACCCGGGGACAGAGCGCCATCGGCGTGCTAGAGGGGGAACCGGAGACCAGTTCTCCACCCGCGGCCTTTGCTCTCCTCCTCCTCCGGAGATGCTGTCAGCGGTCCACCCATGCACCCGGGCGCCAGGATGCTTCGGGAAGGCACCGGGAAGGTGGCCGCAAGAGCTAGGAACGCTACCTGTGCCCGGGTCCAGCCCCCACACCAGCAGCAGCAAAGACAGGACGAGAGGGGGCAGCAGGGTGCCGTCACACATGGTACTCGGGACCAGCAGCCCCCAAGACCGTAGCGGCAGAGCAGGGGCGCGCGAGGCGGCGACGCCAGCCGGAGTGAAGCCCTGCAGCCTCTGGAAAAAGTAATTAGCGCTGCGGACAAACCCAACATGGTAAATACTAAGCCCCACCTTCTTCTTGGAAAGTAGGCGGTGATTGGGCTTTTGCTTTCCTCTGCCCCTCCTTCCCTGTCCGTATTGGTTAGGGCCGGTCGAAACCAACGTGCGTAGTTAGGTTGTAAGCACTTTCTTACACGTGGTTTCTAGGCAGTAGGTAGGCTGTGACACCAGGTGGCAGGCGCGAGCCGACTCAGTTGCAGAATCCTGGCGCAACCAGGAGGACACCAACCTGGTCTTCAGTTTGCTCTCTGTTGGGAGATCACCTCTGAGACTGCTATAGCTTCCCAGGAAGATAGGCCAGACCAACCAGTTCCGTACCAGAAAAAAAAAAAAAAAACTCTATGTATTGAAGTGACTCCTATTTTTGATTTGTTGGGGCTGGAAAGACCCAGACTAGTGTTTCTAGCACACCTGAATCCATACCTGACTTCTATATCTACAGTTTATCCACACCCGGCAGGCTTCTTGAAGTCTTTACATTCACAGAAGCCAGAAATTCGAGAGCATGATAACACACCCCTGATGACTGGGAAACTGAGGGAAAGAAAACGTGAGGAGTTTGCTTAAATTGGACAGCTAGTTTCTGTCAGATCCATACCTTGAATTTGTAACCCTGACCATAGGTCAGGTGTGTTTAGGGAGGTATATTAGCTGAGCTTTGCATAGTAGGACATTGAATCTAACCAGATAATATTCTTAGCTGCTCCCTATAGGTAATTCCATTGGCCTCTTTAAAATCATCTTACAGAAAGCAGGACTGACTGAGCACAAGGATACCACAGCAGTCACAGAGGGCTCCCCATCTCACCCCTTTTTGTTTGTCTGTTTGCTTGCTTGTTGCAAAAAGCCAAAATACCACCGGCCGCTACTCACCTCTTCTTCATCACAAGATCTAGACTTCATCACAGGGCTATATTACCAAAAAGCATCCAGAGACAAAGTAAACGCTGGTGAGTTTCCCTACGTTTGATGCCCCTGCCCTGGTCAGTTGTCTGTAGCTCTCCACAAAGGCTTGTCACAGAATGTGCTGTTGACCTAGTTTCTGATCCAGTGGCTGTCACCTGCAGGTGACCAAGCAGCATGGGTCAGGCTCTGTCGTTGGCTATGAATAAGGCTTTGCCTCACCTGAGCTTTGAGAACTTGACCATGACTTCAACCATTTTGTGTGGGAAACAGGAAGAAAAGGAGAAGCTTTAGCTCTGTCTCTGTGTGGTCACACAGCAGCTAGTTGTAGTGACAGCCCCGGGGATGTTTTTTTTTTTTTTCCTCCTGAGAGTTGTTCAGTTTCTTCTCTGTAAACCAAGGAGCTAAGCTATGCTGCCTCCCCTTGGAGGGTGAACTTCTAATCATTTGGACTGTTCTTGAAAATAAAAACAAGGGCCTGTGAGATACCTGACATATCATGAGAACTTTGTTAGAACTACTGAATATATGTATAAAAGAAGAAAAGTGATTGATCAAATCAGATGTTTTGAAGACTCTTCCTATAACAGGACCCCAGACATTAGCACAACTGACTCCATGGTAGAGATACTGTTCAGGCTGTAAAACTCAGCACGTAGACACCGTCACCTTCCAAAACCAAACTAAAGGCCTATAACTACCATAGTTATAGGACAGTCTTTATATGGACTAACCTTGCTCTTTATTTCTGTAGTTCTGCATCTAGCTAACTGTTCTTGTTAACAGTATGTCAACCCAGGACATAGTTTTTGTGCTTAAAAGCTCACCCGAGGAAAGCTCAGGACTACACTAAGATCCTGGACACCCCATGTAATCACTGGCTTGCTAATAGACTTTTTATTGGCTTAAACCCATGTGTGAGCAGTCTTCTCTGCTGACTACCTGACACCACTCCAGCTGTCAAATGTGCTAAGCAAGCATCGAACCCATGTCCCTCTCAGCTCATTGTTTCTCATTCTTTCTTGTCTGGACTAGTTTCAGTTTGGCAAGCTCATGGAGATTGGATTAAAAACAGCAACAATGATTAGGGGCCAGATGTTAAGTAGTCCTCTCTGTTAGTGAGAAGGCAACGGACACGGAAGGCCTCCGTTGTTTAAATAACCCCACCTTGCTAATGTGTATGTCTGCAGCCAGCACCCCAGGCTTTGCTGATGCATAGGAACACTAATAAACATTTGCCAGAAGATCAGCAGCTCGGTAGCGTCTCTCCTCGTTTGTGTATGCCGCTCAAAGTGTTCTTCCGCTCTGAAGGATGCTTTGAAAGACGAAACTGAGTGGGCAAACTGTGACCAGTTCTCTATAACCAGACTGTGTTTATCAAATACACTTAATTGCTAATATCCAGAGCTCCACTGAGCTCAAGTGAGCAGAGAGCAGCTGCTTGTTACAAGTTGTTTGCCTTATGTCTAAAACCAACCACTGAAAGGAACAATAGCATCGTCAGTGGGAATCTGTCCATTCATAGTGGGAAAGTAACACTTTGCAATCTCTTTTGAAGTATCGAGGAATGTCTCAAAAACTTAAATATAAAGTTACCATATGGTTCAATGTATAAGATAGAGATTGCCAGAAACTGGAGTGAGAGGCGTTACTTAATAGGCGTAGAATGTCCTGTAGGATGAGGGTAAGGTTTGAAAATGATAATAGTCCTGGCTGTACAACATTGCTAATGCATTTGATGCTATTTGATCGTACACTTAAGATGCTAAAATGATGACTTCTTGGTTACAAAAATTTCATCACAATAAAATACAATACACAAGGGAATTCAACCCAGTTCTTTAAAAGTGAGCAAGACTCTAATAGACATTTTACCAAAGAAGACAGACAAATAGAAAATAAGATTTATAAAGACAGTCAAAGTTGTTTGTCTTTGGTCATATGCAAATGAATCACAATGAAATGACTACTGTATACCTATAAGAAAGGGTTAAAAATAGCACACCAAACAAGTACTGGAGGGAGCCAGTGGAACCAGAATTCACAGGCACAACTGGTAAGACTGTGAAATAGCACAACCACTTTAGAAAGCATTTTGACTATTTTTACTACTTGCTTATTCACTCTATTTTGAGACCAGGTCTCATACATATCTGTCTGGTCTCAACACTGAGCCTGCTGTGTGGCTGAAGATGACCTTGAACTTCTGACACTCCTACCTTTACTTCCTGTATGCTAGTTTTACAGGTTAGCACATGCTTTTGTGTGCTGGATCAAACCCAGGACTTCTAGCATGATAGGAAAATACTCTACCAACTAAACTATAGCCACAGCCCTTGCCAGTTTCTTTACAAATTAAGCATACACCTACACTGCTACTTCATGCTTCTATGCAAACTTGTATACCACACAAAGAATTGTGAAGGATTGATGACGTAAAATGTTATTGTAAGAATCACAAACTGGAGACATCCTAGATGTCAATCAACAAGAGAACAGGTGAACAACAGTATAGTAAGACCATAGCCAACAGGTCACTCTAGTTGCTTATAGAGAGGAATGAACTGTTAATGCCTGCCACAATATAAATTAATTTCAAAATGATTATTAAGTGGAGAAAGCCACACTAAAAGAAAGGTCCATTGTGTATGGTTTTATTTATATAAAACTCAAGAGAATACATACTAATTTGATAGTGGTGGTACACAGAAGGATGTTGCTGAAGGGCAGGAGGAAACTTTAGGGGTGTTAAGAATGTTCATTTAAAAATGTGGTGATAGTTTGAGGGGTGCTTATACGTGCCATAACAAGTCACGAACTTGAAACATGTGCAGTTTTACATCCCTATAAAACAGTTTTGAAAACAGCGTTGAACTAGAAAATTCAAACGTTGAGATACAAATTTGATCCAATACTTTCTATGCCATTAAAGTTCAAAGCAATATTATAAAGATGGCAGGTTGATGGAGTGGTGGGTACCAAATATGTAGCAGATCAGCATCCTCTCTTACAGAGCGGAAGGCGAGGAATTAAGAGAAAAAGAAAAGAACAAAAGAAAGCTTTGGTATGGTTCTGTGGCTGGAACTGGCAGAGTAGGGTGAAACCAGATCTGTCCAGCTAAGATCCTGGGGGACAGGGTGCCAGAGGTGGGGGAGGAATAGAATCGGATAAAGAAGGGGGAGGGCACAAGAAGAGAAGACAAATGGATTTTGAAGATATTGCTGGCAGTTTCCCTCCCAGAGGGCTTGGCTGCGAGCCCAACTACTCTGGGGCTATCTGAGGGTGAAGTTACATGGCTATCAAATTCTCCTTCCCTGGAGCCTCCAGAAGGAAGCTTGCCAAGAACAAAACTGGGGAAACCCATCACTTTGACTCTCTTTTTTCTTCGGGCTTGATTCCATGGTTCTCTTCACCTCTGTGTTTCTCCCGGGGACCCTCGCAGACAGAACACCTGGGTGAGAACTGGGCTAAGTGTGGGCACAAGACAAGCACCAGGTGCTGTGTGGTGCTTTTGCTAGACTACCGATGCATCCTAAAGGCAGGGCTGGAAGCTTGGCTCCATCCTTGAAGCCACTCTCTTAGAGACCTGGACCAGGTGTGCAGTGTCTCAAGTGTGCAGTGTCAGTGTTCCTTATGACCTCCCCCAAGGTCTGAGCTGTGCCATAGGTGCCCATTCACATGGACCAACCGAGGTGGCTGAGCCCCTTCCATACAAGCACCCACATGTCCCCGTAGCACAAGTGCATCCACTTGGGCCTCACCACAAGGCTTTTCCTTTGTGGGGCTAGTAGCTGGACTGTTGGGGTCTGTAGCGGGATGGTTTCCTACTGCTGCTACATTTTGTAATAAAGCTTGGTAATTTGGGAGGAGCTAATGTGGGAGGAGCGAAGGAGAGGAAGAGGAGGAGCTAAGAAGAGGTGCTGGAGAGAGGTAGCAGCCATAGAGAACTACAGACACATCAA